GGAGTAGAATCTAGTTTGCAGAAGGTCCCTCACAATGCCAGGCCTGGATGCCAGCTGAAATACAATCTAGTAGGCATGGAATGTCCCACACAGACACCGGTGAATTGAACAAAAGTGCACTTAGGTAGAGCGCAACTGCCAGGATTTGATTCCTAGTGTGCAGGGCCAGCCCCACCCCCAGGGTGCTCTGAGACCATGATTGAGACAGGGAGTGATGGCACATGGCTTTAAGGGTTTGGAGGCTGAAAACAGGAGAATCGCTACAAGTCCTATCTATGTAGTGAGACCCTATAGGCCCTGTAGACTCTGTCCTAACTACCAAAAAAAAAAAGTTCAATAGGATCAGTAATCTTGGATTCTGAATGTAGTTGCCTGGGGCCAGAGTCTTCACTGAGTAATTTTCTGTATGTACCTTGTTGGACCACCCACTCCTTACTCTGTCTTTGCATCTCTCTCCAGCTTCTGCAGCACACTTACACAGAGACAGCCTGATGCTTCTCCCAATCTTGTGTACCTTTGACTCTTCTGTTATACTTTTTTGTTTGTTTGTTTGTTTGTTTGTTTCTTTTTGGTGGAACCGGGGATTGAACTCAGGCCCTTGCACTTGCCAGGCAAGCGCTTATTCTACTGAGCTATCTCCAGGCCTCTCTTCTGCTTTATTTTCACTGACACATATTTTTCTTGTCCCATCACTCATTGCACTGTGTGATGTCCTGATGTAGGCTGACTCTGCTGCTGTCACTGCCACCAAATACTACTTGGTCCCACTTTCATCTCCCCTCCTATAGTGGGAATGCCAACCTCTCACTTCTTGCTGTGCGTTAGTGCAAGTTTGATTCAGTCCCCTGTCACTATCCTAAATTGTCCTAGTTTTGGTGGAAGGAGAGGTCATACTGTTCCACTCTCTATCTTCTCTGATGCTGTCACAAATGTTGCCTCTTCCACACTCCCTAAACTTGCTGACTCACTTCTTCTGATAATCTACTTGTTGCAGGATGAAGTGAGGCATGGTGCGATGAGCTGTCTGCTCTTGCTGCTGTCATGGAGGCAGTCTAGTGCTGTTTAGTCCCTGTTCAAATGTCCCTCTTTGGGAGAAGTGCCATCCAGCCTCCCACAGACTGATTAAATTCTGTGGTCCTATCTCAAGCCACTGTTAGATGAGAAGGGTCATGCTGTTCCATTCACTACCTCAACTGCTACCACTATAGTTCATTAACTTTTCATCCCTAGAGGTTCAATTAG